CTCAGTATGCTTCGTTCAGTTGTGTGCTAATTTATTTAAACACTATTTATTTATCACTAATTAACAAAAATAATAACGATAAAAGACTTTATAGAACTATTTTACAAACGATTTATAACTAAAATTTACTGAATTTTAGCGCGTCAACTGTATATTTATAACTGCCCCCTGTAGGCCACGGCCGCCAGCTTTTATACCGGCAGGTAAAAGAACTCTAGAATAGTCCATAGATCGTTGGGTGCGTAGAGAAGGTTTTTTGGAATGTTCTCGTATGTACTATTCCATTCCAGTGGAGCTCGTTTTTTCTCGAACGAATGAATCTTTGCGGTGTCTATGCGATATTAAGATGCATTCGAGGGCGGGCCATATTGTGTGGTTAGGTCGAGTCCACACCGGCCCGCAACAATAAAAACTTACATTAAACATGGTTTGGTGATAAAACATTTTTTTATCAACACAAGCCATGTTTATCTTTCAGTTTTAATCTTACTCAAGGCTGGGTTTTAAAAGCTGCCTTATCGGTCCATGGGGACAAGATAAGGTGCTATTGTTAATCACCTAGAAAGGAACGAACAATGTTAGCAGCATCAAGCAGCACTGATTTCTGCATTAGGCGGTAAGTATTTTCAGGTATTCCAATTACTTTTAATTGTTCTTTCAGGTTGACCGGGATAATTTCAATGGCTGAGACAATCAAAGGGACTACCTGGATAAATTCCATTGCCATATATTTTTTTTTATTTCTATTCTCAAATCTTGATACTTTGTTATTTTTTTTTTTTTTTTTTTTTTTTTTTTTTTTTTAAAAACTGTTTTTATTTATTTATAAGCGTGATGTCCGGTCTGTTACTTCTAACGGTTTTATTTGTTGAAGATTGTTTTAACTCCCAGTAAAAACCTATTATTTTCGACTTCACAGGTGGATGATATTGTAGTAAGACTCTTGGATTTCTTGATCAATGTTGATGTGTTTGAGGATCTCCAAGTAGATGATTGATGCGTCTCTGTTGTGTCTTTCCAGATACTTTGTACTCGCAAGATTACTGCACCCTGATAAAATGTGTTCTATGTTTTCACTTCCAGAATCACATTTACGGCATTTGTCTGATATATTCTCCTGTAGGATGAGTTTCCGGTAGTTGCGTGTTGGAATAACATGGTCTTGCATAGCCACTACGAATCCCTCCGTTTCTGGGTAGAGATAACCTGATGTTAACCAGTGCAATGATGCCGCCTTTTTAATGTGATGTTGATCTAGCTCATTTGGGTACCGTCCGTGTAACTCCTTGGCTCCCCAAGTAGCTATTTTATTAGTGATTGATGTAGGAGTTGGAAAAGCATCATATTGTTTACTACTGAGGTTCAAGGGGGTGTGTATTTGACATCAGCTGAGGACACCGTGACGTAAAGGTTGCTGTTCTTGGTATAAAAGTTGCTACCGACAGACATTAACAACATCCAGTAAACCTCTACCTCCAAGATTTCGAGGGAGGGTGTTTATTAGTATTGGGAGGGTGTTTATTATTATTATTAAAAAAAAAAAAAATGTTTTATTATTATTATTATTATTTATTAATTTTATTTATTAATATTTTTTTTTTTTTTTTTTTTTTAATTTTCAAAAATATCAGCCCGCGACTCCGGAGTTCTCATGATCAATAATCGTCTTATCAGGGTGCTGGAGGTACGGTACTCGCAGGAAATTTGTACGGGTGGAACTTGTGTTTTTTTTAATATCGTTTGGACACTTGTACGATTCACGCCGGCTTATTTTGCATTGGCTAATTTTCTTGTACTCAGCGTACTATGCATGGCAACTTGGCCCAACACGAATACCTCATAGCTTCAATTTACTAGCAGGCATTTCCCATTTAAATTTTCAATAACGGAACAGTTTCCGTGAAATTTTGCGGCTACTATAACTAGCGAACAATTTTGCGATAAAGGTGTTTGCAGGATGGCGTTCGTTAAATATCTGCGCAAACCGATTGGGTCCCCCGACACTTCATTATTTTTAATAAAGTTCGATTATTTAATTAAAAAAAAAAAAAAAAAAAAATAATTGTTTAAAAAATTTAACGATATTGAGAAGAAGCTTCCAAAGCGTACAAGTCACAGAACAGCAGCTACCTAGCAAACTACCCCGCACCTGATCGTTCAACTTTGTGGCAAGTGGAAAAAATGCGTAAACATCTAGAAATAATAAGAAAAAACAGCAAATTGGTCGAAGGAATTTATCCTTATCATTTAGTCTGATAAATGAAGGGTCGGCCGTAACAACGTTGTACATAACAAAAGAAGTGAATGGAATAAATCACGAAAAACGATAAGAGGTCATTTAGGTGATGATAAAACTTCGTATTTAAGATAGTTTACTAAAGTTTGCTATAACTATGACTGATTTATAAATTTTAAAAATGCTTATTACGAAATATCCATCTATAGAGGTCATTATTGTGGAAAATGCATGTAACAACGTTGTAAGGGGGGGGGGGGGGGGGGGGGGGGGGGTTGTTCAGTAACTTACAACGTTGTTACACGTAAGCAATGTATGTTAATAAAGCAAATGATTTTTTAATAAATTACTTTAATTAATAAAAGGTTTTAAAGAAAGAACTTACATAACGCAAACATTATTTTCAAAAAACTGGTTTTACAAAATAAAATCTTAGTACTAGATAAATTCGAATATTGCTCTTTAGCATCTCTTGAACGTTTTCTCGCGTTTTGTTTCCAGTTCTCTAATATTTAGTTTCCTTTTCGCCCCTATTTTAAGTGGAAATATCCGCGGGGTGAAAAGTTGGCACCGCCCTCTTACAAAGGGCGCTTTAAACGCACGTACAACGTTATTATCGGGAATGCAAGGCTGGCACTGACTGAAGGTCGCTCTATTGCCAGACATCGGGCAAAATTTTTCGGTTCCAGTTGCGCCAATACATTCAAATATGCCTATAAAACGTTGTTTTAGGGAAACATCACATTTCAGCAAAATGTTACATACAACGTTGTTACGGCCGACCCTTCAAATGTTTCAATAAACTTTTCAAATTTCAATCCTTCATATTTTCTCAATGACTGGACGACGGATTTTCAAAAACAAGGCGGGAAATATAGAGAATAGAAGGCTCTTTTCATTGCGGTGGCACTGACCCCCTTTCTCATTTGAAAAAAGTTGGGGGATGACACCCCCGCTTAAGGGGTTGAAGACTTTTGCAATCATTTTTTGGGGCAAAGTTGTCCCCCTCACAAACAAAATTGACGTGTTTTTGGATTTTCTGAAAAAAAAATTACCCTGGCCGTTATGCCTTGCGGAACGTTTTAGATGGGCCACCCTGTATAAGTATCGTCACTACGGCGAGGTGAATAGCTAGCATCTTGGCGAGAGTAGTACTACACTATTAGACCGAGAGCTGGCTACATAAAAAACCTTATCATCGTTACATGGCTATTTTTTTGTGTGAAGTATCCTTTTGTGTAGCCATTATAAAATAGTCATGTCTGCCAGCGCGATCCCGGGGCTTAAATAAAGGCGGGGGCAGCCAATTCGAAAGGAATGAAATTTTGACCACTAAAAATTATAAGGTACCGAGTTATAATTGCCAATAGCTTTTATTTTAATTATTAAGAAAACGTGTAAAATTGTGATAGACATTTTTTCTCGTGGCTGAAATGCCGGCAGACAACGCGAAAAGAGGCATAGAATTTTAACAAAAGAAAATCATCGCATACATGGCAAGTCGGTTGATGGAATGTCATGTTTATTGTTATTAATTTAAAAAGCCGTATGGCAAAAGGGCAGAACCCAAAAAAATGTTATTGAAATAATAAAAAATAATATTTATAATGATATTCCGTATATTATTATGATTTAATCTGTACTTAAATGGCTGAGGGCGGCCAGCGTTCCCTGAAAAAAGCGCTAGAGTAATATCCGCGTTTTTTATAACTGTCTGTCGCTGATTTTGCCACGATCTTTTTGTCTGCCCTTTTGCATACGGCTTTTAAAAATAAATAAATATGACATTTCACCAAATCAGCAATGAAATATGCATAATTTTTTTCTTCTTCAATTTGAATTTTTTAATTATTTTTAAAAGTTTTATGCCTCTTTTGCGTTGTCTGTCGGCATTTTTAGCGACTAGAAAAATGTCTGACAACAATGTTTCCACCGTTTTCTTAATAATAAATAAGTTTTTTTTTTTTTTTTTTTTTTTTTTATTTATGTTAATAAATTTTTAGTGTCAAATATTTCACCTTTCGATTGGCCACCCCCGCTTTAAGCCCCGGGATCACGCTGGCAGACATGACTATTTTATAATGGCTACACAAAAGGATACTTCACACAAAAAATTAGCCATGTAACGATGATAAGGTTTTTTATGTAGCCAGCTCTTAGACTACATGTTTTTACCCGAGGTACCGTCAAGGAAGACTAATTTCTGACTAATAATGATATAGAATTTTCAAAGATTGCGATTATACAGTTATCGCATTAAGTATCTCTGAAAACTCTCGACATGTTTATTTATTAACTATTTTGTAACAATTTAGAATATATCTGAAAAACATAGAATTAACCATGTGAAGAATATCTAATTAAATACATTTAATTATAACCCCTTTTTCAATATATTTGTTTAATATAAGAGTTTTCATTCCTATAAACTAATGTTGTCACGCTTTTAGGTCGGAAGCGGTGAAATTCTTGTTGAGGAAGATGAATGGGATGATTGTAACGAACCTATCGAGGAATTTATTGGAGGAAATTCAGCAGATCTTTTAGAAAATATAAATACGGATAATCGTCGCAGGAGGAGTTCTAATATTTGCCCAATCTACAACGTAAAAATTTAATGTTCTATACAGGGTGGCGCACCTCATTCGCCTCGGTTGATTATACGAAAACGGAAATAAAATAAAAAAAAAAAAAAAAATGTAAAGAAACAAAATATTTTATGGGGTATACGTGGAAGGCAATGTGCAATAATTTAAAATTCCACTTTTGAAGATGTATACATTGCGCCGATGTAGTCAAAACGCAGGAACTGAGATCATAAACCAAAGTTAATATTCTTATGGAACACCCGGTATTTTATTTCATTGTTTTTTTTTTTTTTTTATAAAAAAAACATTTCATTATAAAGAGGTTAAATATGTTTAAAATCTTTAGTTTTTAAAGATATTAAAGAATTTAAATTTGCATGCTACAGTAGAATATATTAGACTAATTAACATACCCTGTACATCCTTTTCATAAATTAATTTCTTATTGCTGAGTTTAAAGGTAGAGAAAAAAAAAAAACTTTATTGAAAAAATGGTATTGGTTTCTTAAATTTATACAGGAGTATCAAAAGTTGCTGATCTATTTAAGGATATATTTTATATAAACTTTGTTAGTTTCAAACGTAACACCCTGTATTTTTTTAAATAAATCGAAGCAGATTCCGAATGTCTTTCAAAAACTATAATAGGGTTTCCTATATCTATCTAGCTCAACATTTTGATAAAAAGCGATGTTTTAAATAAAATTTGTAATCAAGATGGCTGGTGTCGGCCATGGCAATTTTTTAGTGACAGTTAGATATGACAGTTAGTAACTATTATCAAAATCGACATTAGTTTATAGACATTATTATTTAATAATTTATAACAGTTACTTAAAATTTACCTTAAAGTTTAATAGGGGGACGTAATTCCGTTATTTTATCAAAGAAAAATAAAGGCAGTATCTGCTGGCGAAACGAATAGATATTAACTAGTGATATTATTTTGTGAGAAAATTGGCTTCTTGGCCTCGAGGGCTATGCTCAAAGATATTCCAAATAGGAATCTTCCTGGATAAGAGTTTCTTTGAAAACTTCTTGTCCTATTAATTTCGCAGAGCTGGTAGTGTGGTTTATAAAACCTATTAGGCCAGAAACTTGTCGTTGGAAGTGAAAGAAAATGAATTTGCCGTAATTGGCTCTGTTATAGAAAAATCCAATGTATCTACAAGTCATCGTAAAATAATTCAAATACTACTTCGTTTTTCTTGATAGAATAATAAACCATTTTAAATAATAATACTTTATTAGAGACTATTGTAGGTAAATTTAAATAAAGTAAACTGGTATAAATTTAAATAAGGTCCACAAACTAATTTCGATTTTGAAAATTACTAACTAACTGTCACTAAGAAACTTGCCATGACAACACCAGCCATCTTGATTATCAAGTTATCATTGAAATCGCTTTTTATTCAAACTGAGGCCAGATAGGTATAGGAAACCCTAATTATTAGTTTGAAGAGCATTTAATATGCTTCGACTTATTTAAAAAAAATACATAGTGTTGCCATTGAAAATAACGAAATTTTTATGTTAAAATAAATATTTAAAATAGACCAGGCAATTTTTAATACCCTGTATACATTTAAGGAAGGAATAACATATTTCTGTAAAGTTTATTTGCTCTACCTTTAAAACTCAGTACAGGAACCTAATTCTGAAAGTAATGTACAGGCTGTTAATAATCTATTCTACTGTAGCATGCAAATTTAAATATCTTTAATATCTGCAAAAACCAAAGATTTAAACATATTTAACCTTATAATAATAGCCTTTTTTTTGGGCCCAGAATCCAAAATCTGAAAATAAAATAAAAAAAAAAAATCCAATAAGAAAAAAATATAACTTTGGTATGATTCTTAGTTCTGAAACAGCCCTGTACAATTCAAATAATTTTAATTGTGTTTTTTTATTAATTTAATTATTTATGTATACAATGAAAATATTTTGTTTCTACATCTTTCCGTTTTCGTATAATCAACCGAGGCGAATGAGGTGCCCCACCCTGTATACTATTCCGTAGATATAAAACTACTACGTATTTTTGGAATCAAAATAAGTTTATTGGAAAGTCGTCTGTGCGGTTGGGAAAATAATTTTACTATAATTTATGTAGGGGTGGAGAAAGTGGTTTCACCCTATCCTTCTGTGATCTCGTTTTATACTTGAATTTTATGACACACCATGCCAATGTATTAAGAGCAATTTAGTAAAACATAGACACACAAATCTCATTCAAATCGGGATAACAGTTCTTAAAATATCCGAAAAAAAAAAAAAACTTATTTTTTTAAAAAATTTGAATGCCTCTCCCTAGCGACAAACGAAGCCCTTTAGTATAGAGGTAAATTGTGTCCAAAAAACTTATTTTGATTCCTAGTAGTTCTATGTCCACGGAATATTGGGACACCCTGTATAAACAGGGTGGTCCGAACGGAGTTCCGGAAACTTCGGCAGCTTATTCTGCAGATAAAAATAGTAAAAAAGTTCGTAGTAAATGGTATGTCCTGAGATAACGAATACTTGTGCGAGAGGATTCCAGTAAACGATGTGTACGGTGTAGAAGTTTCAAATATTCAGGCATCATCGGCAGATGATTATAAACTAAAATACAATCTACAATTGGAGCGTTTATATACTCGCTCAGTGGGCACAGAGTGGGCGTGGCAAGATCTAGCTAACCGAGTCAGAACCCACCGAGCGTAACAGTTAGATTTTCGCCACTAGAGTAGCAGGAATAAAGAACTTGAAGGAATTGAACCGTTGTCCCTGTTCCTACTATCTTTACATTTTGATTTTAATTTTGATTTTTTACGTCAAAAATGTCTTTGTATATTTTTTACTCAGTAGTTTTATACAGGTACGAACGAAAAGTTATTACACTTCAAAACATTTAAAAAATATGTAGGTGGCGCGGCGCCCCTTTACAAGTAGGAGTCATATTGGCATCAAAATTAAATTTCTCATGTCAAAATACTTCTAGACACCAATTTACTTAAGAAATTATTTGGAAAAAATCAATTCAAATTAAATTTCTACACCCTGTACCTCCGAAACTAAGCATTTTAGGACATACATTTATACGAACTTTTATACTTATTTTTATGCCTTTATATTGCTGCCATACAGTTCTGACCACCCTATTTTACAATAGTTTTACTTTTAGACTACATCTCTATGTCAAAATTCCCAAAGAACCTCTATAATATCGAATTCCAATTGCTCTCTGCATACAAAATCAACCTTGGAAAAAACGACTCAAACAGAAAACAAGCTACCGAAATGGAAACAGTTTCTTTATTGCTTAAAAGGAGATGATAAATTTCGAAGACAAAGACAACGAGATGCAGAGGCATTAGGTAATTAAATTTTTAGATTTAATACTTTTTTTGAAAAAAACGTTCTTAATTTTTTTTTTCATTTCTGATTCTGTCGCTCATACAAATGTGTGGAAAAATGTGTCAAAAAAGTGGAATTTTCTTTGTCATACAAATTTAGTTGTAAGAAACTATGTATGTCCTAAAATGGCTTTAGTTTATTTTTAAAAAGAATGATGTATACTACGTGGATAATTATAAAATGTTCGAATAAGATTATATCCAGAGAGTTTTCATAAGAATTTTCATTAACTCAAATTTCAAACCATTCTCTAAACTTGAAAATATTTTAATGTTATTATCATCATTTTTTGTACATATAATTCGAAATTATATTTACTTTTTTGATATTGAATTTCTGAGCTAATTCCCAACTAGATTTATTAGGTTAACAGATCGATGAAGGAAGATACGCAACCTAATGGGCGAATTCGTGACAAGGCTGATTTAATTTCCCCTTACGCCTCAAGTGCTGTACAGTAGAGCCACCACTCAAACAGTCAAACACTCGTTTTCTCTAATTCGGTCAGCGAAGGCATATCGAAGACGGTATGGAACTGAAAGCGACAGTGTTGCAATATATAAAATGTATATATGTACTATTTGTAATTCGTTTGACAAAAATATCTTTGGATGAAAAATCTGCCTTTATGTATATTGAAAATTTATTCGTATTAAATATAGAATATACAACAAAAATAAAAATTCTTTTATAGGTACTGAATATTTCGTATGCTCGAAAAAAAGTCGTTTAGTTGGAATGGAAATGACGATTATTGACATTTACCATAATATTTTACATATCAAATAACAGCAGTCCTCATTTCCAAGCCAACTCTGACGCTGTTCTTTGTTTAAGCATATAATATTAAGTGATCCGTATATTAACGATCCGAAAATCCGTATTATTAACGTACTGTACCCAAAATCCGTAGATCTACGGATCAATCCGTAGTTGTGGCAACACTGTTTCCGGCACCACTTTGTCGACTGAAGGCAGAACTATACGGTAGAGTATTCTTTATCCGCTGCGCTATAAACGACTATCAGCGCTCAGCGGCGCAGTACTGAACTAAATCTCGGACACCCTGACGGTAACGCCAGCTACATCTCGGACACTTTTTGTGCCAAGAAATCGTCCATAAGGTTGCGCATCTTCTTATTTCTTCAGTCAACAATAAAGAATTCTTTTAGAAACCAACAAAAATGGTCACCACGGCAACCGCCACATAAATAGCGTATCTCTGATTGACAGAACTGCGAGAATTATGTTTCCTGCATCGTTCGGATTGTTCAACTTGTTTTACTGGCTGATGTACATCATGACTCAAGAAAATTTCAAATGGGGAGACAACCAACTAAACGCTCGCGGATATTAATTTACTGTTTTATACTATAAAATCCTTAAATCGGTGTATGTATACAGGGTGGCGCCACTCACGTAACGACGCGGAGGCTCCAAGGAGAACGACAGTTTGTATTGAAATGACATTTTGTGAGAATATGTAGGTTAATTTCTGAATTAACCTAAAAGTACTCTGGTACTTTTAAAAATACAGATTGTTCTACAGGGTGTCCCCAAAAAAAGTTACGTATCAAAGTTGTGTTTTTTATCATGGAATACCCTATATATTGTAAACAATATATAGGGTTATTTATGTTTATATGTTTATTGTTATATGTTTATGTCAATATGTTTATTATATGTTATTTTTGTTTATATGTTTACAATTGATGACGCAGAAGTGTACAGACCAACAAAAAACAATGTATGTGTGTTTCGTAGATTTCGAAAAAGCATTTGATAGAGTCAAACATACGAGACTTATCGAAATGTTGTATGGAGTTGACAGCAAAGATGTAACACTTCTGAAAAATATATATTGGCAATAAACAGCCCACATGAAAGTTGAAAATAACAATTCTAATCCAGTCAATATACGGAGAGGAGTAAGACAGGGATGTGTGTTGTCTCCTTCGTTATTTAATGTTTATTCTGAGGCGATTTTTCCGGTAGCTTTCTCTTCAACAGATTGCGGTATTAAAGTCAACGGCGAAGTCATTAATAACATTAGATTTTCCGATGACACAGTTCTTATTGCCGACTCTGATACTGGTCTCCAGAGTTTAGTGGAACGACTTGAAGGCTCCTGCCAGGAATACGGGATGAAGATCAATTCCTCTAAAACTAAAGTCATGGTATTTGGAAAGAACCAAAATGTACCAATTCCTATTAAAATAGACGCCAATACCTTAGAACAGGTCTACAAGTTTAAATATTTGGTGTCCTGGATAGTTAGCACCTTGAACAACGACGTGGAAATAAAAACCAGAATAGAACAAGCGAGAAATGCATTTTTAAAAATGAAAAACGTCTTCCAGAATCCAGATTAGACCTTGAGTTGGGAACTAGGCTCATTAAGTATTATGTTTAGTCAATCCTATTATACGGAGCAGAAACATGGACACCATTAGCGTAACTAGCAATTTATCCTGGGGTGGGCCTGGGGGGGGCCTGGTGCTGAGCTAAGGGGGGCCTAGGGCTTTTGTTTTTTTTTAATTGAAAAATAATTTTAAAAAACACATTTTTTGAATAAAACGTTTACATGAATTTCTCTATCAATAAATTTCATAGACTTGGTTATCAAACCGTGTTCCCGTAGATTACTTAAATACCTACAAATATTCTAAAAAATATAAAAATTACCACATTTTTTGAACACAACAAAATAATATTAACTAAACAAAACTAGAAAACGTCATTGCATCACAAGCAAATAAAAATTAATACGTAGCCAAGAGTCATAGTTCAGGATTTCTTTGGGGCCCAGCGTACCCCAAAGAAATCAGCAGCCCCAGCAGTACCTGGTGTTACGCCAATGATGGACACTGAAAGTTCAAGAGATGAATCACCTCGAATCGTTCGAAACATGGATATAACGAAGAATGCTTAAAATTTCATGGACAGCCCATATTACCGAAGTCTACAACAGAATAGGCAGAGAAAGAGAATTGCTCAATATAATAAAAATAAGAAAAACATCCTACTTAGGGCATATATTAAGTAATAAATAATAATAAACATATTATTAATTAATAAAATATAATATAAAATTGAAGGAAAAAGAGGTCTCGGCAGGAAGAAACTATCTTGGTTGGGAAACATCAGAAACTGGACTCACCTAACTTTTGAAGAACTTATAAGGAAAGCCGAGAATCGTGAAGATTTTGCCAATGTGATCGCTAACCTCCACGAAAGAGACGGCAGGTAAAGAAGAAGACCCTATATATTCATTGATTTTCGGATTCTGGGGAAAAATAAAGGTGAGTTTTATAAGAGAATATATGAATACATTTTTAATATATTTTTCATATATGAATAAAATGTAAGGTTTTTGACATATTTAACATTTTTTAAAAATAAAGAACAATTTTTAAATTATAATAAAAACTACCTAAATTGGAATTTACCTGGAATAGCCTAATATGTAGTTAAATTAACTATTGTATTTTAAATCAAATTAAAACTTGATATCAAAAGTTATACAAGGTGATACAAAATTAATATTGAATATTGCTCACCTTTAAAAGAATGTTACGCTTTTATTTTATATAATGTAGGTATATATTTGCTTGCAAATTTTAATTTGGTTTAATATACAATGGTTACTGTAATTAAATATCAGGCTATACAAGGTCAACTAAAATTTAGGTAGCTGTTATTGAAATTTAAAATTTACTCTTCATTTTCCCAAATTTTAAATATGTCAAAATCCTTCTATTTCAGGTATAATATGCTTCTTTAATAAAACTCCTTTAGAAACCTTTATTTTTTTCCTAGAACCTGAAAATTAATTAATACAAAGAGTGCTCCATTACAAAAAATACAACTTTGATATGTAACTTTTTTTGGGGACGCTCTATATAACTTTATATATTTTTATAAAATGCTTTCATTTAACCTACATATGCTGCCAAAATTTCATTTCTATATAAATTACCTTTTTCCTTGGAGCTTCCGCGTCGAATGAGATTCGCCACCCTGTATATGCTTTAGTCCTTTCCGGGATGTTCGCTTATAGTACTTAGAAAATAATATGGAATATAGAAAATAATAAAGTTAATCACAGTAATCAGTTCTTTATAAATATTAGAACTACAGTACATTTTGGTATTGGTGACATGGTTTTCCTCATTTTTCAAAAAAGCCATATTTTTGTGAAAATTAATAGAACAGCCTGTTCTATTAACGTGTCTGCATAATTATCTATTTTATAAAGGTTTAAATGAATTTAATGATCTAGTAGGCCGAATCAAAAATGCCAGTTCTTTATTAAGCTTTAAAAAAATAAAGCACTATGTTTTTAAGTCTACGATAATTTTAAATTTGTTTTTTTTATGTGTCATGTTTTAAAGCATAACTTATTGTTACTACATGCTTGTAGCATTTATTGATCATGTTGTGTATGATGCAGTATACATATATAATTTTAATATTTTTGATAGCTAGTAGTATAATCTAAAAGTTTTGCATTAGGTCCTCATATTTCGAATTAAATAAATAAAATATCTTACTTACCTGTGCTATAGATAATTGGGTTTCATTGGAAAACAAATTATTTCATAAATATATATTTGTGACAATTTTTGGTTTTGAATTTGACACTTCCACCCCTGACTCCTACCCCTAAAAAACTATCATTTATACTCCTTGATGGTTTTAGCTGTATCTCATTTTAATAATGTAATTATAGCATTATAGAAACATATATCAGGATTAACAGGTTAGAATGCCATATAACCACGGCCTGGCAGAAGAGAAGCAGTGTCTAGCTTATTTCTAACGTTTGATGGTACAGAAAAAAAATATTGGTCCCAACCAATGACCTCTAAATAAAGTAGACCCGGCATTTCATTCATAAAAACAAAAAGATAAGAATCCGACATTCGTTTCTTGTTCTATGCGAGTGGGACCAAGACGGACTCATCGCAGACATGAAGGATTCCCGAGAGAATGGCAACGCTGTCCAGAGATATTGAGAAGGTGTGCCAGTGGCGCAGTTACTTTGATTGTAATATATAATTTAATATTATATTCTCGTAAATATGATTTTTGGATACGATATATTGTTGTGCTCGATGGCTCTTCAAATTTTGAAAATGACTACTTCTAGATATACTCCAATAACTTGAAAATAACTAGGTAATTGAAATATTATGATATGCACATTTCCATAGTAATGTCTGTAAATTGCTCCAGTAGTAATATAATCCATCAAGCATTCAATGAATAGAGAGCCGAAGACGACTTTTATAAAACATTTATGTGAATTAATGGTTATTATTTTGATTGAAGCAACGGTGGAAAATGAGAATATTTTAAAACTGTCATGTCTAATTATAATTTTATATTAGGTATAAAAATATTACTATATAGCAACAATAATAAAAATCTTTGTTAAACAAAAGATAATTGCTAAAATATTTACTTATTTCTGGAACAGTTTCTTCGCGGAGAATTGGGACCTTGTACTGAATAAATAATTAACTTTTCATTAGAAATTGCCAAACAAAAAATATATAATGCTTTATACCTAAAACATATCAAACAAAGACGCATTCATCTTTTAAACTATATATTGTTTTTAGTTTTAATAAATACAACAAAAAATACATTCCTCTATTACCACAAAAATTATACCATCGAAAAAAAATGGCGTCAAAAATGACAATCGGTGATAATTTTGGCAAAGTGATATGTCATGACTCCTACTATTGTTTATTTTTTAATGGCACTTACTGGTAGTAGTAGACCTTAAGGTTTTATTTGATTTTTAAATGGTGTAGTATAAATTCGAAATTTTTTTTTGGATATCGATTCGTGTTTCTGGAAACGTTCTATCTTTTTATAATTTTTCTATAATTAGTATTAGTTTTTGACAAGTTTTATTTTTGACAATTTTTAATAAATGACATCTAGAAATAGAACTCGCCAAAATTATATTCGATTGTTATTCCCAGCAGCCTTTGACGCCGTTTTTTTTTCGATCATTCGGTATTTAGTATGTAATGTCCAACGTGCTCTTCCCTTAACTTTTTTTCAATCATTATATAAATCTATTTTGATTTTACACTTAAAAAATCATCTTTAATAACTAAAAAACAATCAGTATGACCGAAAAAAACGGCGTCCAGTTGGTTTAGAAATGAACATCGATGACATTCGCCATATAAATTTACATATAAAATGACAGCGATCTTCATTTCACAGCCATCGCTGACGCCGTTTTTTTTTCGATCATATGGTATTTCACTATTGAACATTTTTCGTAATTGTGACATCTTTAATTTTTTATGTATTTGTTATCGACATTTAATGGTATGCAACCCGTTATACACATGTTATACAGCTAGAGCCTTGAAAAATGTGACGTAGAGGAAGAGAGGGAGTATTAGAAGAGAACTGTACGGCAAGAGAGTATAATAATTTATTGTTAATATCGGCTGACGAAATAATAGTGTAAAATAAACATTAATTAAGTTAATGGTGCTTTATTTGGACTAAAGTAAAGTTAACATATTTTTTCAACAAATTAATATTCGCATTTGTATACTTGGTTTTGGTAATATTTAAATATTATGAGCAAAATATTCAATACAACCAAACGTGACAAAACTAACTTAATGTAATGGTTTATTACTTATAACGGTATATTCCAAAACTGTGTGGTTTACTAATATTTCCAAAGATTTTTCCCTGTTTTACCTTTCCGCACCGCACTGATGTAACATAGCCTTATTCACCTTCGAAATGAAACTTCTGGGTTTAAATCGTCTCTATTTTTGCAAATTAAGCAAGTTCGCACCATTGTCTTATTGTTTCTCAATAAAATCACTAAAAACAATACCACAAAACAATAAAATAGCTGAAAATCACCTCGTAAAACATTTCGAAAAACCACAACACATTGGCAACGCCGTAGAGCAATTTATGAATGAATTCGAACTGGATGTTTTGTTGGCTGCCTAAATTTAGGAGTGAAGATAGTAAAATGCGTACGTTTTCGGCATCAGCTGGCGTTGCGACGTTATCGATTGTTTTATGTTAAATTTCTTAAAATCCAAAATTATAATTACAGAAGATTTAAATAACGGCTAATGCTGATTGGGAGTAGTTCGTGATACTAGGCTACCTTTAATTATTATCGGTTTAAAGTATTCTTACTCGTAATCTATATTTGGAATTATGGAATTCCTGGTTTACAATGTGGGTTAGCTATCCCCATACATAAATACGTAGGTAAGATTTTCTTTTAAATGCGGCCGAAGTGGAAATTTGGCATACATGCAATTTTCTATTTCAATGATGGATTTCGCCAAAATGTAAGTCGCCGGGTCTAATTTATTTCGATGTCATTGGTCCCACAATTGGTCCCAACGCCAATATTTTAGTAACAGTGGGCGAGATTACAGTGTCAGAGATATTCTTGAACCACCTATCCTGGACTGTGCTATCGTCGAACAATTCACTTCTCAATTTATTGAGTGGATTGTTGCATTGAGTGTTTTAGTTTAGTATTTAGGTATTTGTTACTACGTAGAATATTAGCAGCGCCATCTATAGTATTATATTACACCTAATTAATTTAATATACCGTATGTTCGAAAACAACGATTCCAAGTTAACTTAAAAATGACGATCGATAACATTTTCTTTGTAAAGTTATATGGTTAATGTCATCCAAAGATGTCATCAATAGTCATTTCTAAGTTAACTTGAAGCCGTATTCTTCGATCATACAGTATTTAAACTAGGATGATTTTATGCCAGATAATTTGTTTCAAGTAACTTTAAATAAACATCTTATACAATATATTTTTTTAAAAATATGTTGTAAAAGATGTTTGATTTAATATACTTGCCAAACAAATATCTAGTATATAATTGTTAAACAATACACATGCGGTAAAAATCACATTACAATATTTTCTATACCAAAATCAAAAAGTACTATCAGATTTAACTTAATAATAGGTGTATGATTAATAACACATGTGAATTGATTATATACCAGATATTACAAGGAAGTTTATAATAAAAATCATTTATTTTTTGTTATAAATTTTTATTTATTTTTTCTTTTTTCGTAGATTTCGAAATTTTACAATACAAATGCGGCTCATTAAATTTATAGGCAACTAAAAATTAAACATTACAATTATTGCTCGGATAAAATATATATATATACAACTATTTTTGTATTCTTTTTGTTTTCTAAATTTCTATACCTAGGTACATGGTAATACTAAAGTAATACCGTATGATCGAAAAAACGAAGTCAAGTTGGCTTGGAAATGACGCGGTCGATGACGTTCCTCATATAATTTTACATATAGAGAGAGAATGACAGCGATATTTATTTCATAGCCAACGGTGACGCCGTTTTTTTTTCGATCATATTGTACCATACGATTACGAAAAGCTGCATCAAGCCACCTTAGGAATGACAATTGATGGCATTTAAAATGTAAATTATATTAGTAAATCTAACCAATTAATGAATATCAATCTTCCTTATCATCGATAGCCATTTCCAAGGTACAATTAACCTAACCTAACCTAGCTTTTATCGAGCAGGTTATATTATTATAAACTAATTTCTAGGTACTTACATATAAAGAATAATTCACTCTAAATGGATACACAAAATAAAAAGTTTTTAATTTAAAATAATACACTATAAAAGGCCGGGCACACAACATAAAACGTCTTTACTTTGGGAATGAACACTACGACACTCACAGCCACAAAACACATACCTCTCAGTTCCAGACAAAGTTAGGCACTGATGGCCACAAAACGCCTTGCTAAATATTGGAAAGTGAAATTGACGTTTAAATTTGACACTGTTGACAAGTCTACTGCTACTAGCGCCCCCAATTTCGCTTGTAGGAACTACGGACTAAATTGTCACGCATGGCGGGAAGTTTAAAAAAATAAAAATTTTATTTCTTCATTTATTTTTAATTATGACATACACAAAAACAAAAAATACACACCATTTTTTAAAAATATGTTTAATATCAATATCAAATATACAACAGAAATTAATTTCACCACAATAAATTAATAAAATTAAAAGAATAATGTTACAAGTAGATCAAGAGACAAAATTAATTATAACAAAACTGAAAAAAATGGCGTCATAGATGGCTTAGAAATAAAAGATATATCATAATTTTGAAAGTAAAATTATATGGGAAATGTCTTCGATCATCATTTTTAAGCAAACTGGACGATTATTTCAAACATACAAGCTGAGTTCGTTCATAGTGCTCTGAGAAATCTAGATAAACAAAGAATAATAAATTACAGTTGAGGGTTGGAACCTTTGGTGTTAAACAGCAAAATAAAAACACTAAATCACCACAATACAATTCATGTTAGCATCATCAGCAGATGATTATAAACTGAAAATAACTAACTGAAAACAGTTTATAATCATCTGCTGATGATGCTAACATGGTTAGCGAAACGCGCGTCCAGTGTAAAAGTAAAAGTGTTTTGGTGTATTGTGGTGATTTAGTGTTTTTATTTTGAAAGAATAATAAATTAAAAGTATTCCAGGGGAAAAGAGAGGAAAAACCTGTATCGTCTCTGATATCTGTCAGGGTATTGTTGAAAGTGTCATCTTTTTGCTCGAAGTTTTCAGGTCGATCAAAAAGATGACATTTACAACAATACTTTGCTGTAACTTTCACAAATATCAGAGAGAGTACATACAAGTATTGCCTCTCTTTTCCTCTGGGATGATTTATATCTGTTGTTCTTTGTTTATCTATATTTCTCAGAGCATAATGCCGAACACGACTACAGTATATAATAATTTCAATATCCGAAGTAAAAAGAAAAAAGATCACCTTTCTGTTTTGTACTATGGTCCCTTTCTTCCGATGGCTCATCTCGTTGATATTTAGGAAGGAAAATATAAAATTCAATTTGATTTGATGATCCTTTTCTGTCACCTAAAATCAGGAGAACGATGAATGAAAATCATGAGAAACAATGAGCATGTTAAGATGAAAAAAAAAATTATCAACACTTACCTACACGTTAGTCCGAGGAGTTTTATTAAAAACCTATATTTACCTAAATAATTTATGTATTAAATTTGCAAAGCAAAATGCAGCGCGTAAACAAAAGATATAAAATGGCGACAAGTCAACGTCAACGACCCGACAAGGAGAAAAGTGGTGTTCGAATAACAAATTATCGGTCACCAAAAATTTTTTTTGTCTCCTTTCAACGCACACTTTAGAAAGAAAAAGAGATGAACTGGGATACTGAAAGAACGTCAACATTTTATCTGTCACTCTTGTCAATAATTTATCGGTAAGAAAGATTCCTAGAAAATCGCTTGTAGTCAAGTTTTCAACCATTGCCAGTTCTCCCATAAGAAGTGTCATCCACCTGCTGATGGCTGCCGGGAAAAATGACGAAATATTATGATGAGACGGGTGGCGGGAAGAAACTTATCCTTCCCTCTTACTCCGCCCACGTATTTTTAAATCGACAGTGGCGCCCTCTGACAGCAGGATTTGGCAATTCTTGTTCCAAATCCTGCCATTTAAGTTTTTGCACCGTGATTGGTCCCAACGCCAATATTTTAGTAACAGTGGGCGAGATTACAGTGTCAGAGATATTCTTGAACCACCTATCCTGGACTGTGCTATCGTCGAACAATTCACTTCTCAATTTATTGAGTGGATTGTTGCATTGAGTGTTTTAGTTTAGTATTTAGGTATTTGTTACTACGTAGAATATTCTCAACAATATAGGTACTCAGATGTACCTAAGTGTTTTAAACATAAACACTTAGGATATTATCAGATTTAGATAGCAAAATTTATATAAATAAGGAATTGAATTAGCCTTTCCTAATATTTGAATTCTTGTGCAAAATGAAAGTGTTAATTGTTTTGACTATTTACTTAGGGGCTGTTTTCTGTAAGTTATACAACACCGTTTATTTCTGGAAAATGCCATTCATATTTTTCTTTAGTATCTGAATATTTTAATTTAATTATATGATTTAATTATACAGGGTGGCGCACCTCATTCGCCTCGGTTGATTATATGAAAACGGAAAGATGTAGAAACAAAATATTTTATGGGTATATGTGGGCAGGTAATGTGCACAATTTAAAATTATTTTGAAATATACAGGGTGTCTCAGAACTAAGATCCATACCAAAATTATATTTTTTCTTATGGAACACCCGGTATTTTATTTCATTTTTGGATTTTTGGGTCCAAAACAGGCATTTATTATAAGGGTTAAATATGTTTAAAATATTTGGTTTTGAGATATTTAAAGATATTTAAATATGCTTGCTACAAAAGAATTGATTATTAACACCCTGTACATTACTTTTCAGAATTAATTCTTGTACTGAGTTTAAAGGTAGGGAAATAAACTTTACTAAAATATGTTATTGCTTCCTTAAATTTATACAGAGGTACCAAAAATTGCTGGTCTATTTTAAATATTCATTTTACATAAAAACTTCGTCATTTCAAATACAACACCCTGTATTTTTTAAAGCAAATCGAAGCAGATTCAAATGCTCTTTCAAATTATATCCGGGTTTCCTATATCTATCTAGCTCAGATTTTGAATAAAGAGCGATTTTTCTATAAAATGGCAACCAAGATGGCTAGTGTCGTCAGGGCAAGTTTCTAGTGACAATTAGTAGCTATTTTCAAAATCGAAATTAGTTTATAGACTTTATTTAAATTTATACCAGTTTACTTTTATTTAATTTAACTACAATAGTTTAATAAAGAATATTTATGAATACGTATTTATTCTATCAAAAAAAAACGAAGTAGTTCTTTTGATTTTCTATAAAAGAGCCAATTACAGCAAATTCAATTTCTCAACTTCCAACGACAGGTTTCTGCCTAATAGTTTTTTTATAAACTAAACTCTGCGAAATAGGAAATAGGACAAGAAGTTTTTCAAAGGAACGCTTATCAGGAAGATTCCTATTTGGATATCTTTAAGCATAAGGCCAAGAAATAATTTTCGTCACAAAATAAAATCACTAGTAACATATCCATTCGTTCCGCCAGCTGGCAGCAGATACGGTTTTATTTTTCTTCATAAAATAAAGAATACTTACTTATTAACCTATTGAGCAAACTAAGCGGAGACTTATTTTTTTACAAGCTGAAATTATGATTCCAAAGTTGTTAGCAGTCAATCGAATCTTCATTGCAAGCACCATCTTTCAATTGATACTTGATTAGTAGCCGCAGCAGCAATTTCTTGTATTAACTTTTCATTAATCATTATCCTTAAAGACTACCACTTTATCTGTGGCTTCCAAAATCTCCTGGGAAAAAGTTTGAGGAGCTTCTTGAATCACAGATATTTTACACTCTAAAAGACTAGATGCTTCATTTAATAGCCAAGTGAATTCCACAATATTTTTCATCATCTTGCTTCAATTTTTGGATGGATTCCTCGTGTGGATAAAAGTTCTTCAGCAAACTTCACAGGCCCAAATTTAAGTTTGAATATCATGGTTTGAATACCAATATAAGTATTCCACGTACAGGGCATGCCAAATTGGACGCTTTTAAAGGGAAACACCTTTTTCTGTAGGAGAGACGAAAACTAATATCGGTGTCTGAAGCTCAATTTTTGTCAAAAATATGATGGTGAAAATCGCACATCGATATCTGTTACCGTTGGGAGTTACGGGGTGTTTTTCAAAAATATGCATTTTTAACAAATCGCTGTAACTTCTTTGCTATAGAAAATTTTGTATTTTTATGAAAACATTTCCAAATCACCTTTTTACTTAGAATTTAATGGTGTAAGTATATTTTTTTTTGAATTAATAATTTAAGCATTATCAACAGAAAATTTGATTTTTTATCTGGGACGCCCTGTATGTTTTTAATTCATTGAAAAGGATTTAAAATTACCTTTCCAAAAATATAGCATACTTGATATTTTTCTCGATTCCTCTTCGAGATATAGAGTTTTTAAAAATTCTCCCACTTTGAATAAAGCATATAGGCTTTGAACGGCGCGGCGTAATGCAAAATAATCTAGCTGTGAGCAGCAATTAACACGAAAAATTTAAACTGTATTAAACAAGATCAACACATTTAAACTATATCTAATAACAATAAAAATAAATAGCAAACCAAGACATGAGATCGTGCTACAGGTGTTCGACCGTCTTCTGTTATGGACAGACGAAACCGTTTTTTAATATTTCTTGCGGAATTCATTAACTCAGTGGGGGTGAAGGAGACCCTCGCATAACCGCTAAGTACTTCTAATTCTTGTCTAGATTATACGGGCAATTTAAAAATAAGAACCTTTATTCTTTCGCAAAGATAAACTCCATGCTAAGTCCGGCGAACCGGCGCGCGGCGGCCTGGGCGGCCGACAGTTAGGAACTTGGTTAGCTATTCAATTATCTTTGAAATTGGCTGCAAAATTTGCTGATAACATCAGTGTTCTAAGGCAATGCTCCGTCTTGCTAAAAATATGTTTTCGAGTTCCATTAGGGCTTAGGGCCAGATCATCAATAAGGGGTCCAAAGCCTACTAGTTAAAAGTGGAGAACTTTTAAAAATTCTCTATTTCGAAGGGAACTGTAACAATCAAGTGTGCTATATTTTTGGAAAAGTAATTTTAAGTCCTTTTCAGTTAATTAAAAATATATAGGGTGTCCAAAATAAAAAAATCAATTTTTCTGTTGATAACTCTTAAATTATTATTTTTAAAAAATTATACTTAAACTATCCAATTCTACGTTAAAAGGTGCTTTGGAAACGTTTTCATAAAAATACAAAATTTTCCATAGCAAAAAAGTTACAGCGGTTTGTTAAAAATGGACATTTTTAAAAAACACCCCGTAACTCCGAAACGGTAACAGATATCGATGTGCGGTTTTCACCATCATGTTTTTGATAAAAATTGAGCTATGACACCGATATTAGTTTTCGTCTATCTCCTTAAGAAAAGGCTGATGCCCTTTAAGATTTTTTTCAAATTTACACACCCTGTACAACAATAACATACATATAACAACATAGTGGCATTTATTTTTCATACACCGATCATACTTCGCCCTTAACTCGTCTTCAACTGAGAATCAAAGTCCATTTATACATATACAGGGTTGGGTTATTCTTAAATAAGTGCAAGTATCTTCAGGGCTGGTAGATCTCGATAAAAGAAACGTATTTTCTCTTTACCGTTTTTCAAATAAGTCGAAAATAACCAAATTAATTTACTTTTTTAATTTTTTCTTAAATTTGGAGAACCACTGGATCCTTTCTGGGTTTTCTTTCTTGTAAATTTAATCTACTACCTATGTTGCCATATTATCACGAAATTATGTTTTTTAACTAACAGCTAAAAAAATTCCAAAAAAATTTTCAATTCAATTTTTTTTGACAAAAAAAAACATCATAATCGTGTTTTGTGAGGTCGAAATCCGAAATATACTACCCCTCAAAATATTTGCACTTATTTGAGACTCATCCTGTATAGTCCGGTCGAGATATTAAATACCGTGAGATTTTTTAGATGACCTTTTTTATGATTATAAATAATTTTTAAGGTAATGTTGAAATTAAGCGAGGAAGTCCCTTCTAAAAATTTGGCATTTGGTCGCTACATTAAATTATACCAACAGAAAAAAAGTAAAAGTGTAAATAAAAATAGGTTTTCGTTGCTTACAAATTGAAATTCCGGTTAACGCTAATTGACAACTTTGACATTTCAATTTCGATTATCGTATATCGTAACGTTAGCCAAAGCCGTTAACATAGAGGTATAGTGGAGTGCTTTAAGCCCTTATGGGATACAAACCTCGGAATTCATTTACTGTGAACGAATTTTTATAAAACATTTTGCATTGTATTGTTAATAATATATATTACAAAGTTTACCCATTTAAATTCGTTGCTTTTATTTTACTATTTAAATAAACACACATATACAAATGCATACATACAATATGGCTCCGTCTTCCGAAAAAGCTCTGTATCAGGATTTCTAATTGAGATTTTCACTCCAAACCTTTTACAAAATATGTGTTTAATGGTAGCTCACATTTCAAAAATATTTTTATAGATATACAGGGGGAGTCAAATATATTTTTATTCTCAATTCTCAAGTTTTAGTTTTTCAAATGAAATGTTTTATATTTGTTTAGTTTAGTGAATTTGCTATAAAATTCAGGTTCCAAAAATACCTTAATACCATAGAGTATACTGAGTGGCTTTTTAATTATAACCACGTCCATGGGGACGTCAATCTAGACGTCCAGGAACTTTCGTATGAGAACTTCTAATCGAGACGATCGACTTATTGTAAGTTTATCGCTCAGAAACCGCCGAGCGCCGTTTGCCAGCTTTTTAAATTTATAATGAATTGCACCTCAGGAACGTACATATTAACTAACGGACTATAAGATGAAGACTATATAATATAAAAATCGCTTTTAAAACGTCCTTCGGGGTTGTGCGATGCCTAGTCGCCATTGGTTTCGTTCATCCCAGTCTCCGTCACGCAGATCCCTTGAGCTCATCGCCTTCTTGACACCATACATCCAGTTTGTCCTTGATCTTCCCCGTTTCCTTCTCTTTTGTGGAAGCCAGTTTAGTACCTTTTGCGTGTTGTCTATCCTTCTCACATGTCCATACCACTTCAGTTGGGCAATCTCTATTTCCTCTACTATAGTTTTCTGCCTATCCATTTTGTCCCTGATTGTCTCGTTTCGTACTCTGATCTCTTTATCGAGTCCATTTATATCACCAGTAATTGGCTTTCCTTATTCTCCATTAACCTCCATGTTTCCGCCCCAAATAACAGATTGCTCTTGATTATTGCATCATAAATCCTGACATTTTTTTGCCTTGACTATTCAAGAAGAAGACTAAATGAAGCAAATCATATGTCAAGAAGGCCTGCTT